TGTTTTGAGCCTTACACACTATTTTTATTTTGCTGGAAACCAGCAAAGTTTTGCTGGATTTTGCCGAGCTGTAAAATCAGCAATTCTTCCAGCAAAATATTGTTGCTGAACGACCAGCAAAATGACCCGACGTAAAAGTGACAGCTGTTTACTGAAACATCAGCAATATTTACTGGATATCCAGCAAACCCGAGAGGCAATGATTTTGCTGAAAGATCAGTAATTTGTTGTAATACGATTGAATTGGAATTGCATTTAAAAATGAAATAAAACACAATCTAATGTGGTATTATATTACGCACTTTTAAATTTCGCATAAAAATTACACATAGACTAACTAACTAGATAACTGTTGTTCATAATTTAAAAAAAGGTAAATATTTCCCTTTGATCCGCTTTGATCCATCGTACACTGGACGATACTCATTGACTGTCTAATCTGGCAGTTGTTGCAGCTACATTAAAGCAGAGAATAGAAATATTACGAACAAGATTTTAAATTAATTGTAGAGTTCACAATAAATTTGCAATTATTCTCATTGTTTTTTCCTGTAATTAATGATAGCTGGCACTGTTGAAATTGCCAAACAGAATACGCGGGAAAGTGAAGGGTGATAGTTTGAGAGCTCACACACGTTACAGAGCATCCAGCAAAATATTACAAATTACTGAACATACAGCAGAACATGGTTTTGCTGGAAGCTGTTCAGCAATTTGTTTTGCTGGAACTTCATTTCAAAATTGAGTGTGTAAGATTCATTTTTCTCAGTTCAAGCCCATTGCGACATTGTCCCTAATTCCAGCTCTATCTAGATATCAAGAGCAAATTTTCATTATGTCGTAAGTAACATTCGCACCAATCCGAGAAAAATAAAGTTTTGTTTTGATGACCGAAAAGTTATTCCTATTTCCAAGTAAACACATATAATCTCATAGTGATAGCAATGTTTAACATATTTAGCAGGGTTTTAATCATACAAATGCAAATCGCTAGCTTTCATGCTAAAAAATACTGGTTTTTGAGTCAAAAGTTATTATACGTCGTTTGGTGGCCCCTATTGTTACTTAAGTCAAAGTGTATTCACCAGGATATTCGGGAGAATTATCATTTACGTCTCCTTACGTGCAGCCCATTCATCATTTTAGGGCCACCGAAATCATCTTAGCAACAAACAGTTCGATTTATTCACTTTAATAATGAGAAAGCGAAACGACGAACGTACACTTTTCACGGGTTTCTCAGCACTGTTACTTAAGTCAAACGGCATCTCCATAGAAATTGGGTGACTTAAGTAACATCGAAAACTATTTTGATCGGAAGGTGATTACGTCAAAAAGCAATTTGACTGGTAAATAAATTTAAAAATGGGATTTGATCCTATATTCGGACAGTATATAGTGTAATAGCAGGAGAATCGATTGACACTGATAGCTCGACTTTGTTTACCTTTGTTACATTCGACGTAATGAAAATTTGCTCTTGATATAACTTATTCGTATGGAGACATTTCGACAATGAGCATGCATAAGGGCGTATACGCGATGATCGATTCTCTTCATCGATTTTCTCTTTGCATTGCTACAGCTAAGCGAAACAATTTTCTAGAATTGTTCAATGCAGATTTGTAGCAGGTTGTATTGGTAATGAAAAGCAACAGCACTGTCGATTTCTAAAAGCGTCACAGAAAAAAAAGTTGTTGAATATTACATCCAAACTGCTGCAACCAGGTCAATCCATCGGTTGTGTAATATAACGTTGCACGATGTACATCGGTTTTGCGAACAAAATTACATCCATTGATGTAATGTTGTATCTGCTTTTTGCTATTACATCATTATTTCATACATCAGCTTGAATTACATTGATCGATATTACATTTTTTTTTTGCTGTGTAGGTCACTCAGCGCATGAGTAACCTACACTTTTAGAAATATCTCATTCGCGTCTATGAAGCTTCTGCAGCTCTTTACTCGTGGAGAAATCCCAAAAGCAGAAACTAACGATTTTAAATTGGCTCACTACTTGACTAGCCTATTGCTCCCAAGCAAATCGATTTACGTACCTCATTCTACTCGAAATTCTAGTACTACACCATGTTTGTTTTGATTCGCTATGAAAATTTGACAGATAAAATTAGGGGTTCGTGGATTTTCCAATGTTTCGAGGGGTGCATCGATTAGCTTGGGACCGAAGATAGTACTAGAGCTGAGCTAAAAAGTTGAGCACGTTTCTTCGGGACGTGCTGGTCTTAAAGTTACTCTATGCTTGCACTACTTTGCTCGATTTGAACAAAATTTTTTTTTTTGAGTTTTGTGGTGATAGTCGTCCATACTTTTACTAAAGTGCTTTAGTTTTTCTCTCAAAATCGCAAAAACGTACACGGCGAATGAGAATGACTCATATTTGAGTTTAGGTAACTCATAAATCACATAAAATGCAGGAACTCAGCGATGAGTAAATTTGCCTGATGGTTTTCCAGGTTTGTCCTGGAAAAACTTCCCGAATATGAGGAAAGTTAAGATTAGATTCACTCAGTCTATTTGTACTACTCCTAGAGGCAAATTTACTCATCGCTGAGTTCCTGCACTTTTGGCGATTATGCGTGAACTAAACTCAAATTTGGATCGTTCGCATTCGCCGTGAAGGTAACTAATACACGGTAACCCCAAAATACCCAATAATGACTACAAAGTAAGCATTTTCGAGGGAGACTGGGACTACCCATTAAATTAGTAAAAATATTACCCATTTATGAGTATTTGTTATTCAAAAATGAACACTTACTACTTGTTTTTGTAGTTGTAACTAATCATAAATGGGTAAAATTTTACTCATTTAATGGGTAGGCCCAGTTTCCCTCGAAAATGCTTACTTTGTAGTCATTATTGAGTATTTTGCGGTTACCGTGTAGACTATCGTTATTCCACGCTATTTCAAAACTACCCAAATTTGGGTAGAATCCACCCAGATCGGTCAAAACTGAACCTACCCAAAAATGGGTAAACATGTATTTACCCAAATCTGGGTAAACGTACCAGCGACAGAAACTGGGTAATGGTTAACTAGGCGCTGAGTTCCTGCAGTTTTCTGAAATTTTCCTCTGTATTGAAGAGACTCTCCCTCTGAGTTATTCTCAATAGCCATGCATAATCAAGCGAATATTAAATATTTGCGTGATTATGCATGGCTATTGAGAATAACTCCGAGAGAGAGAGAGTCAGAAAATCAATGAAAATTTTACTACACTTACACTTTACTCATAAATCACCAAAAGTGCAGGAACTCAGCGATGAGTGAATTTGCCACATGTTTTTTTTCAGGTTTTTTCCAGGAAAAAATTAAGCGATTATGAGAAAAGTAAAGATTGGATTCTCTCAGTCTATTGGAAATATTTCTAGACTGAGTTCAATTTTCTGCATTTTCCAGCAGATTTTTTAAGTTTTCCTGAGGAAAGCATGAGGCAAATATACTCACTGCTGAGCTCCTGCGCTTTTTGCGATTTATGAGTAAAATGAACTCAAATTTGGGTTTATCTCATTGGCCGTGCAGAATAGAATAAGTCAGGGGAAACATGTCAGAAGGGTCTAACTCGAAACGTAAACAATGACTTGGATCGTCGGTTTCTTACGAATGACAACATACCCACTCAAACTAACTATATCGTCTGACAGAGCAATGTTTGTTCTATAAGCTGGTGTAGTCTGTTTCCTTGGGTGTGTGGTCATTCAAGAGAAATCGACGTTCAAAGTCATTGTTTACGTTTCAAGTTATACCCTTCTGACATGTTTCCCCTGAAGTAAATGTTCACTCGGACATGAGCAAATCGACAGTTAGCATGCAAAAGGGCGTAAACGGGATGATCGATTCTCTTAGTCGATTTTCTCTTTTGGTAATAACTCGCTAGAATTAACGTTTCTCGGTGCGTTTGCTGTTGCTTTTGATAGCCAATACAACCTGTAACAACTTTGCATTGAACAAATTCTAGAAAATTGTTTCGCTTAGCTGTAGCAATGCAAAGAGAAAATCAATGAAGAGAATCGATTATCGCGTATACGCCCTTATGCATGCTCACTGTCGAAATGTCAAACATTTCGACAGTGAGCATGCATAAGGGCATAAACGCGATGATCGATTCTCTTCGTCGATTTTCTCTTTTGTTAATAACTCGCTTGGATTAACGTTTCTCGGTGTGCTACTGGTGCTTTTGATAGCCAATACAACCTGTTACAGCACTGCATTGAACAAATTCTAGAAAATTGTTTCACTTAGCTGTAGCAATGCAAAGAGAAACCCGATGAAGAAAATCGATCATGGCGTATACGACCTTAAGCATGCTCGCTCACTGTCGATTTATTCATTTTATGAGTGACCTACACGGTAACCGCAAAATACCCAATAATGACTACAAAGTAAGCATTTTCGAGGGAAACTGGGACTACCCATTAAATGAGTAAAATTTTACCCATTTATGAGTACTTTCAACTACAAAAACAAGTAGTAAGTATTCATTTTTGAATAACAAATACTCATAAATGGGTAATATTTTTACTCATTTAATGGGTAGTCCCAGTCTCCCTCGAAAATGCTTACTTTGTAGTCATTATTGGGTATTTTGCGGTTACCGTGTACGTTTTCTGCGAATTAGTTTGATTCATTTGCCGTGTTTTACGAATTTGAGTAATCGGATTTTAATTTAAATAGAATTCAACGGCCGTGTTTACCTGCTAGCACCAACATCTTTCATGCAAGTTTGGTAACTACTTCTCTTGCATCAAATACTCACACAACATATACACAACAAGTTTGTATATCTGTTTACGATTCTTCATCATTCACTCGCTCTCTCTCTCTCTCAACTATAAGGATAATCAACGCACGTGCTTCTTTCGAGCCTGCGCTGCAAGTGCAACGCAACCGTCCATGCCACGTGCTTTCTGCCGCTCTTGAAAAATAAACTCATGCCCCTCCCCCACCATTTTTTTTCTTTCCCTCGTTGCAGTTCTTCCGATGTTCGTAAACAATGACATCCGCAAGGAGATGTACAAATCACCGGAACAGCCCCAGGTGGACACCCAGTTCAAAAAGCTCTACATCTACCACATGGACAACGTGAGCATACTGTTTGCGGACATCAAGGGGTTCACCGAGCTGGCCAGTAAGACGTCGGCCCAACAGTTGGTTAAGGTGCTGAACGATCTGTTTGCCCGGTTCGATAAGATAGCCGAGGATAATCACTGTTTGAGGATCAAGCTGTTGGGGGATTGCTACTACTGCGTGTCGATGTTTGATAGTCAGAGTTGGAAGAGCCGTCCAGATCATGCGGTTTGCAGCGTTGAAACGGGACTGCACATGATCAAAGCCATCAAGGACGTCCGGGTGCAAACGAATGTGGTAATTTTTTATGCCGTTAATTCATTGAGTTCTAAATTAATGCGATTTTGGTTCTAGGTTGACTTGGATATGCGAATCGGGATTCACAGCGGTTCGGTAATGTGTGGAGTGTTGGGTGAAAAGAAGTGGCACTTTGATGTGTGGTCAAACGACGTGATAATAGCCAACCACATGGAATCGGGAGGTGTTCCCGGACGGGTTCATATATCGGAAGCTACGCTCAATTGTTTGAATGATACGTATGAAGTCGAACCGGGCAACGGTGCCAGTCGGGATAGTCATCTGAAGATGATGAACATCAAGACATATCTAATCAAGCGGACCGAACCGCTACGGCCAAGAAAAAGACTGATGAATCGGATGAGTACGCTTCAGTTCGAAAAGGAGACTATAAGTAAGATTAACGATCCAAGGTATCGGAAGGACTCGAAGACACCTAGTGTCGCCTCTAGTGGAACTAACAACAATAATCATATCACGAAACGGAGCTCCAAGTCGACAATACACGAGGACGAAACAACCACGGACTGGACTCCGGAGATTCCGTTCGGAAACTTAAATCAGGTCGGAATCAACGCCGCCGAGAGTTTCCGTGATAAGCAAAACTATGACACCGAAGACACGCTTCCCTCGACAGAAGAAGTCGACGACATCATTGATCAGAATATACAAATCAACTCGAATAAGCAAATGCGAGAGGAATATCTCTACACGTGGACGCTCAAATTTAAAGATTCATCCCAGGAGGGCACGTTCTGTCAACTCCGGGAAGACATGTTCCGATCGAACATGCTGTGCGTATTTGTTGTTTGGATTTTCATCGTACTTTGTCAAGCTGTGATCATCCCCAAATGTACCATTCTGATCGTGTCTCTTTCGATCACTACCTTTGTGCTCACGATAGGTTGCGTGCTAGTTATGGCCGAAGAGTTCTCCACGCTTCCAGAGTTCCTTCAGAAAAGTTCTTCCACCCTAGTTCACGATCGTAAGCGCCGAACGATCTTTGTTTGCATAACCATCATCCTCATGTCAGCCGCTAGCTCTATGGGATTGATCATGTGCGATCTTGATGAACCAATATCCACCGTCGAAACCATGCACAAAGAACCATCCGTTGCGTTCCTTCAGACAGCTGGAACAAAACAGGAACTCCAACTCAATCTCACCGTAACGGCAACCATCAATCAAAACCTAATTCTAAACTCGCACAAAATCGTCAATCTAGACCTTGAATCTCTGCTCGCCGATCAGAACAAAACGCTTAAAGACCTAGACGAACAAGAACTCCAATCCATCGGACTAACTCCCACCTACATAGATCTTCCACAGAGCTACAAAGTATCGTCTTTCAATGCATCGGACGACCCTTTCCAGGATAAAGATTCCATCGAATATAAACACCCACCCACATCGTTCGATAACTACGGTCACCCAGTCTGCGTCCATCCGGAATACGTAGTATTCACCTGGGTCCTGTGTCTAATATCTCTAGCCACGGCCCTCAAACTGTACTACCTCGTGAAAACCTTCATGGCCATCACCATGGTCGCATGCTATTCGATCCTGATCCTGCTCGTGTTCAACGAGGTGTTCGAAACGTACGATATCCAATTCATGCAAGCCAGCGGAATGCCCCTGGCCGCTCAGATGATGATCCTGTTGGTGGTTTTTCTCACCATGGTCACCTACCACGCCCGGTTGGTGGAGGTTACCTCTCGGTTGGACTTTATCTGGAAGGAACAAGCCGAGAAGGAGCTGTCCAACATGAAATCGAACCGCCACCTGAATGATCTACTGATCAAGAATATCCTCCCTGATCACGTGGCGGCTTATTACCTATCGGAGGAACGGGCCGATGAGCTGTACGCCCAAATGCATGAACTGTGCGGTGTGATGTTTGCATCGATACCGAACTTTAAGGACTTCTACTCGGAGGATATCGAAAATGGGAAGGCTTGCATCAGGATACTGAACGAAATCATATCGGATTTCGATTCGCTGCTGGAGGAGGAACGCTTCAAGACGGTGGAGAAGATCAAGACGGTCGGAGCAACGTACATGGCGGCATCGAACCTGTGCTCCGGGAATAAGGTAGGTTTTTGGTGATTTGGAATTGAATTCAATGTCTGACAAGACTCTATTTGAGCAATTTAAAATTAAATTAAGTTCTGAATTGCCGATTGGATTTATTTTATGGCAATGCTGGAGAAAGGGATGAAATTACTGAATCGATAGCCCCAGTGGGGTATGATAATCTGACGCCAAATAAAGCTGAACATTGCATTAGGTCCTAAGTAACATTGATCGATTCTCTTCGTCGACTTTCTCTTTCATTAATAACTTGAGCATATAACCGTTGTTTGTTTGTCGTATTAGATGCTAGTTAAAGCTTCTTTATCGATCTATGTGCTGAAGATACATGCTGCATACATTTTTCGTGAACATTAACGGCAAAGAACTCAGCAACACTGGGAGACCGTGAGTTCCTGCCCACCTGTCTTAAAAACATCTCGACCACAGGTTACCACTACTCCCAACAGAAACGCTCTGACATGAACCGAATCGATGTAAAGGTCCGTTTAGACTATCTGATTTCTTGGTCTGCTTTTGATCGCCGCCATAATGAAAAATCTGCTCGATTTTACCAAAGATGAATACTAACATGAAACTGTCGGACGAAAAACTTTCTATTTTAGTGTCCTCTTTCACGGTCCCTTTCATCAAATGAATACCCCCCGTATACAAAGTAATTTTGTGGTTTTGCTGCCCCCTCGGTAGAGTTGAAATTTTGTGCTCATTTTTATCAAAACAATCACACCAAAATCAGAGATGTCCCATTTTTTAACTAGGGGAATTTACGTATTCTCGGCATCCTAAGCAGCGACCTTCTTTCTATAGCCTTTTTCTCTATGGAACGCACACATATGCAGTATTGGTTTGTTTACAATCTTTTGCTGCCAGCTGCTCTAACAATTTCAGTCGAAAGAATTGTCAAAAACTGTTTTGAAACGCTTTTACAAAGCTCCAATCTTCTCTAGTGAGAGCGAGTATTGTCGGCAACCAGTTTTTCTTCGGCAACCGTTCCATTTGAACTGCATGTAAATCTGCTGTTCTATTATCGGCAGCTCGAAATCAGCTACAATTTGTAGTGCGTGTGTTTCATTTCAAGAAAACCCTGCTAGATTGCTTTTTCTCAGTGGTAAAAATATAGTCAAATTGAAGCTGAAAGCTTAAAGAATCGTTTGCATGCATTCATCGAAGTGTTTTCGTAAGAAAATCCAGTGAAAATAGTGTTTCAATTTGGGTTGCCGAAAATAGTCTGTCATGCCGAAGCCGTCATTTCCCCTACTCGATTAACAACTAATCGATTATTTTTTGTTAGCTGTGCTGTCATTTTTCCACGAATGACAGTGCAGCGCATGTTTGAAACAATCGGTGATGATCCTCTGGAGAAGTTAATGCCTGTATCGGTATGATATAACCGATTACAAATATGTTACTTTTCGGTTCGTTAATCGATTAATCGATTATTCAAATGAAAATCGGCCATCACGAGATGAATGTGAAACGTCATTTCAAATATAAGGACCGTAAATAAATAATGATACAATTTGAAAGGGACCGGGGCTAATCACAAATTATGTTCCCATAGTAACTGAAATAAACACGAGTGTTCACCGGTTGATTTTACTTTCGACGCACTTTGTCAAACCCCCTGTTTGCTGGTGTTCACACTGCTTGCACATGTCGAAAGGACTGTCAATTCAGATTTCGAAACAAAACTGTATCAGGAATCAAAAGTAAATACTTCCATAATGAATTTCCGGAAAATTGTTCTAGCTTCGGCAGGCGTATTTGCTTTTATTATTTTAAATAAAATGAGAAGGAGAAGGTGAACTTTGTGGAGTAGGAAATGGTTGCTCTGGAGGAGCACCGGCAGGGATCTGGCTCATATTGTCTTTCCAGATCTGCGATACGAAGATGAAAAAGGATTTCAAAACTTCACCAGGATGTCGATACGATAGATCTACATGATTCCTTGAGTTCTGAACATTCATGTTAAGAACTCAATTCTGCATATTTCTCTGATGACCTTCGGAGGTCCCTGAAGTTTTGTTTCTGTTCTCTGGTCAAATATCTTTGAAGATCAACAAACTTTCCTGAAGATCTGCTATTTTTTTTGTAGTTCTACAGATTTCTTTGAAGTTCTGTGTGTTCTTCAGAAGATCTGCAAATTTCTCTAAAAATAAACAAAGTTCCTGAATCTATGCAGTTTTAAGATCCTTAAATATTCACAATTATCTCTGATGGTCACTAAATTTCTTATAATCTACGAGCTTCTCAAAAGTTCTGTAATTTTCTCTGTTGATTTTCTTGATTCAATGAATATCTGCAAATATCTCTGAACTTCTACACAATTCCCTAAAGTATAAAAAAAATATCTTGAAATTTTTGAGCTTCCCGGAAGTATAAGGAAGTTCTAGCCACTAATTTTTCTGAAGTTATGCAAATATCGTTGAAAATCTGCGAACTTCCCTGAAGCTCTGTAAATTTCTCTTAAAATCCGAGAACCTCAATCAAATTCTGAAAATTTATTTAAAAATCTGCAGATTTTTCAGTAGATTTACGATCGACCCTCTGAAATTTGCCGAAGTTTCAAAAATTTCATTAAAATTCTGTTAAGTTCTCTGAAGTACTGTATTTCTGCTCTAAATATCTACGAACTGTCCTGAAGTTCAATAAATTTCTCAGCAGATCTGCGAACTTCTCTAAAGCTCTGTAAATTATTTCGTGGATTCTTGGACTTCCATAAAGTTCTGCAGATTTATCTGAAATTATTTGAAATTCGCCAAAGCTCTACAAATTATTTGAAAATATTTGAACTTCGCTGAAGTTTGAAAATTTTATCTGAAGATTTACGAATTTCTCTAAAGTTGGGTTAATACTTCTAAAGATCGACGAACTTTCCCGAAGTTCTGTGAGTTTTGCTGAAGTTATGCAATTTTTTCTAGATTTTTGTCTTGAAGTTCTGCGAATATCTTTAAATATCTGTAAAATTTTCTGAAGTTTTGCAGTTCTGTTCTCAAGATCTATGAACTACCCTTGAAGCTCAACAAATTTCTCAGTACATCTCCGAACCTTTCTAATACCCCGTACAGGCTATGGCTTATATCATGTAATATAGACTGTCTGGCAATGAGCACTCATACATCTAGTTGTCACTGGAAATCCTATATATGAGTGCTCATTGCAAGACAGCAAGACAGCCTATATTACATGATATAAGCTGGGGTGGGACGTGCTGTCAAATCAGCCTACTGATCATTCTTGTATGAAAGTGGTTCATAACGTATAAACAAACCCTGTAGGTTTCTTATGGCTTGTTTTACCAGTTATGCGAGGAAGGTGACCATTGTTCGTATTTGACAGCCACCTCCCCCCCACCCCCTTGGATATAAGCCATAGTACGGGGTATAAAGCTCTTAAAAAAACTTAATAGGCTCTCCGACCTACTGTCTGGCATGCTTATTCTTATATAAAACATGCTGTTTTGTTGACCTTGCCATGATCGAACCCATTATGGCATATTTTGACCAATTACACTGAAAAATAAAAATCAGTCAAATCATACACAGGACAATATTGAATAGTGAAATCGGTTTACCTTGCTGCTGGATGCCATCAAAACACAAATCAAGCGTTTTTTTTTAGCAGTTCAAATCCATTTTTAAAAAATTGTCGAACCTCTTAACGGAATCAATCAAAGCTCTTCATAGTTCAAATCCGTTTAATTTAAGAAGAAAAAAAACAATATTTTCACCTCACTTGCGGCTATTTTGCTGAATGAGTCGAATGAAAATTAAACACCTTTTTTGTTCGACAAATCAAACGTCATATTAATCATCATGTCGAAAAAGTGTGAACGCATCCCAACATTGCATCCGACAAAATTATCGAGCAGTCCACTCGAATCAGACCAAAAAATCAGATAGGCAAAATGGACCTTAACCGCACTACCGGACAAAATACCCGTCCCGGGAGTCACGTAATGACGCATGATAACACATGCGTCTTTTATTTGTTGTCGATTGATTACCGAAGTCGACTACTAGTCAACAAACAAGACATAACAGAACACACATCCAGCAACTAATGCGTGTCATGTCTCTCGTCCTCGGGGGCTGCTATAGACACATGTAATACACACTTAGAAATTATCACCGACTTCGGTAATTTTTACCGAAATCTGAACAGCTGAACTGTTCGGTAAAATTTATGCAATTCAAATCAATTAACCACTTCATTCGAGCAGTTCAAATGACGTTTACTACCACTCGAACTTTGAAATAAAACATCATTTTGAGATTTGTCCTTCTAGAACCACGAGAAACTAGCCACCATTTGTGCGTTTCATAAAAAAATAGAAATTAGTTGGTCCAGTTTTGTGAATTCGCTGGTAGGAAGTCACGCCAAAACTGCTTGACAAAGTGGTCAATTGGTTTTTAGCTACTTTGAAACTAAATCTCCACTAAAATCACAAGATTTTATCATTTAAACAAGGTTGAACATGTTTTGGAATTATTTTCAAATTCAATAGCCTTTAAAATGAAGACCGAAGTTTTACCGAACGTTCAGCTGTTCTGATTTCGGTAAAATTTACCGAACACGAAAACAAAATCTTAGTGTGTAGATGTGCGACTACTTTCTTCCAACAGAAACGCTCTGACATGAACCGAATTGATGTAAGCTGGATTACAGTACATCCGAGAAGAACTCGTTCAGATGTGTAGATTAAGAATTTAGCCAAAATTCCGGAATAATCTAGTTCACCTATTACAACTTTCGTTCAGGACAGGACAGGAGTTGACATAACTAAACAATTTCTCACTATAGACCTCTTTGACGTTTAATCGTCTTTCTCTATCTAGCACACATGGATGAATCGACGGTTTTTTTTTCCCACTAATATGTTTCTCTCTTGCTCGCACTCGTTCGATTCAAATGGTGCAGTAGTGTGCGCCGATTAAATGTCAGAAAGCTCGATTGAGATTAAGATAAGGGGGGAGTTGAGAGGTGTTAACGCCGACGGGGGAATGAAATACCTCAAAACCTGTGTGCGTAGTTATGGACAGTCCCTAACTCCGCTTTCAATTCCAGACCAAAGTAGACGAAAAGGACGAGGAAGCCGTATGTGATTTGGTGGAATTTGCACTGGCCATGCGTCAAAAGCTTCAAGAGGTCAACAAGGATGCATTCAACACGTTCCAGCTGCGGGTTGGCATAAGCAGCGGTCCTCTGGTAAGCGGCGTCATCGGGGCTCGGAAACCCGTCTATGACATCTGGGGAAACACGGTCAATGTCGCGTCTCGGATGGATTCCACCGGAGAGAACTGGAAGGTTCAAGTCCCGGACTATACGGCTGCTTTGCTTCAAACGAAGGGCTACACGTGTGTCGTAAGTCGTTGCATTTTCTGTTTTCAAAGGAATCCATTATATAGAAACATACCTTCAACAGCAACGTGGTGAGGTAAACGTCAAGGGCAAGGGACTTATGTTGACCTACTGGGTGCTGGGAATGAACGTTTCCGCTAGTCAATTAACCTCTCCGGCCCTGATGCCCGCCGGAGTGCCACAGGTACAGACGCCGTCCTTGCAAAGACAAATTTCTCAGCATAGCTCTCTGGCGGCAGTGGTATTCGGCATGATGCAGGCGTCCAAGAGAAGCAATCATAACTCCACCCGTAAGTATTCTCCGTTGCTATTCTGCCCCATAGTTCCGCAACTAGAATCAGCTAAAAATGTCAGATGTTTTGTGTTTCTTTCGCTTTTCGTTGTTTCGTCAATGGAAGATTCTATTCAATGTGCTCTCTATGTCTATTCGATGTTTTCTTCTAAGCATCAGTTTTTCTCTATCTGATATTTTTAGCTGCTTTCTCATAACTTTTTTATTTCACTATTTCTCGATCTTTAACTATCACTTTCTATTTCTTAAATTACTTTTATATGTTATACGAATATCACTTGCATAAAAAAAACAAACACTTAAATCGCAATGTGCAGAAAAATGTGGCTGGAGTCGTGCTAAAAACTTGACTGTCAATAAGATGCGTTTGCTGGCACCGTATGTATAAGCTTCGACTGCTTTAGTGCAGAAAGTTGCCCAAAAACCGTTAACCCAATTGTCGTCACTAAACCTTGACCTGTGTCGGTTGGCCACTAAATCTGTGTTCACGAACGTACTCCTACCCCCACGGGAAACAATCTAACCAAAACTCACATGTAATGTTTTCCGCAGTAAAATGTTGTAACCACTTACCAGTAACGCTCACCGGCATGTTCTGTCTCGAGTCTAACCTTCAATCTTGCCCCACGTGATTTTTCACGCCATAACCTCAAATCTGTACCCAGTTTGATATCGATCTAACGCAGTTAACCTTTGTTTCCCATAGCAACCGCAACGCCGTCCCCGAGAACCCGGTTCGGGCGACGGGGAAGCACATTCAGCTCAGTGAGATTGAGTCAGAAAGTGCAGTCTAACAATCCAATCCGACGGAATACGACTCGGGTGCGGGGACGCAGCTATACTATGAAAAAGGTACCGCTAGAAGGTCTTGCTAGCTGTATTTCGTTGCATTAACAGTTTGTTTACTTTTTCACCTTATAGCCCACCATCCCTCACTCGCCATCGGTACAGATTCCGCGCTGTACCACGCCGGAAAACAATGTGATACCATCCTTCCTGCAGCTGCATCAGAACGTCAAAGAGGAACAGACTGGAGTGTAATCGGAAGATTGAAAGTGAATTTTTTTTCCATAATAATTCTACAAATTTATCGCTAGTTGTCTGCTGCTTTCTATGTAAATGAGATAGTGAAAGCATCAGCAGGTCTTAGCACAAGAAATACAACAAACCAGTAGCCAAATCTTGTATTCTAGTCATGAAATCAAGCAACTAAAATCAAACACAAATATTTTACTGTTACTCTTCTAGCACAATTCATTCTAAGTCATAATTCAGTTCTGTCTTTTGAAGAAAACAGAACAAAAAACAAGTTTTAAAGATAAACCAAACAATTCTTCGGGAGGAAACATAAAGAAAAAATCAAAACAACAATTTAACAAGAACAACACTTCATGAATAGAGATAAAATCAAGAAAACAACTAGTGACAAGACACCTAAATGTGATTCTAAATGTATTACCATTCAGTTGAAGGACTGTATTTGCTGTACTTGTGAAGTATAAACAAAATAAAGCTCGATGGAACAAACTGTCATGCCAAAGTACAGTGAAAAATAAAAAAAAATAAACATTAACATGGTGAAGTTTCATATTCCACTGAAGAATCCTCCTCAAACTGCATTCAGCTAAATCTTAACTCAGAACATCTGCATCGTTTTAATGGTTGGTGACCTCAGGTAAATGAAAAACTATTGAGCTTTCACGATGACCTATCCAGTAATGGCACGACATGCCTCTAGGTAGTTCTTGGATTTTTTTTTTTTTGCTCGAATGTGAAGTTTCACATGCCTATATACCGTCAGTGAGAACAAACTGGTCTCCGGAACCGGATTATGGAAGCTCTGGATAATGGCCACCACGGCCAAATTATATCTTGAAATTTTCAAAAATTCCGCGAGATTCAGATACTGCCCAACAGACGGTGTGAGCTGATTGAAAAGCTGAATAAGCATATTATCAACAATCAATATGAAACTATCGATTTTAAATTGGCTCACTACTTGACTAGCCTATTGGTCCCAAGCAAATCGATTAACGTACCCCATTCTAGTCAAAATTCTAGTACTACACAATGTTTATTTTGATTCGCTATGAAAGTTTGACGTATAAAATAAGGGGTTTGCGGATTTTCCTATGTTTCGAGGGGAGCATCGATTAGCTTGGGACCGAAGATAGTACCAGAGCTGAGCCAAAAAGTTGAACACGTTTCTTCGGGACCTACTAGTCTTATACCCCGGACAGACTATGGCTTATATCATGTAATATAGGCTGGCTTGCAATGAGCACTCATACATAGGATTTCCAGTGAAAACTAGATGTATGAGTGCTCATTGCAAGACAGCCTATATTAAATGATATAAGCCATAGTCTGTACGGGGTATTATCACAAACGACCTACTAATCTTAGAGTTACCTCTATGCTACTACTGGATTGTACCAACAATCAATACGAAACTAACGATTTTAAATTGGCTCACCACTTTAGTAGCCTATTGGTCCCAAGCAAACGATTAACGTACCCTATTCTAGTCGAAATTCTAGTACTACGCAATGTTTGTTTTGATTCGCTATGAAAGTTTGACAGATAAAATGAGGGGTTATTGGTTTTTCCTATGTTTCGAGGGGTGATTCGACAAGCTTGGGACCGAAGATAGTACCAGAGGTGAGCCAAAAAGTTGAGCACGTTTCTTCGGGACCTACTTGTCTTAGAGTTACCTCTATGGTATTATCACAAACGAAGTGACAGACGACTTACTGGCGAAGAAATCAATTAAAATAATGTGGTTCGCTGTAATAGAATTTTCTTAGAAGCTTGTGCCATCATCCACCAGATGGGATAGTATTTTTGTTTTGGTTTTGCACGAAGTTGATTTTGTGTACAATGATTCTTTGACAGTGTGCAAAGAGTGTATATCATTTTGCCATTTTTTTTATGCATTCCAGTTTTGAGTAGAGTGAAAGAGATAGAACCAAAACATTCTAGTACATTCGGTGAAAATGCTAGTTCAATCCAGTAGTAGTGTTGCCATGTGGTACAATCCACTAGTAGTGGGGTAGCCATGTGGTACACTGAAAAATTGCAATAGCAGGTTAGTCACCAAAATTTTCGAGCCGCTCCGTCTGTCACTTCGTTTGTGGTATTATCATAGAGGTAACTCTAAGACTACTGGGTCCCGAAGAAAATCATTATTATTTTTGGCTCACTCAGTACCAGGACAACGGTCCCAAGCAGTCCCAAGCTATTTCACTCACCCCTGCATGTTCTGCATGAATCCACACACCCCTGATGTTATCTGTCAAACTTTCATAGCGAATCAAAACAAACATAGTGTAGTAATAGAATTTCAACTAGAATAGGGTAAGTTAATCGTTTGCTTGGGACCAATAGGCTACTAAAGTGGTGAGCCAATTTAAAATCGTTAGTTTCGTATTGATTGTTGGTACAATCCAGTAGTAGCATAGAGGTAACTCTAAGATTAGTAGGTCCCGAAGAAAATCATTATTATTTTTGGCTCACTCAGTACCAGAACAACGGTCCCAAGCAGTCCCAAGCTATTTCACTCACCCCTGCATGTTCTGCATGAATCCACACACCCCTGATGTTATCTGTCAAACTTTCATAGCGAATCAAAACAAACATAGTGTAGTAATAGAATTTCAACTAGAATAGGGTACGTTAATCGTTTGCTTGGGACCAATAGGCTACTAAAGTGGTGAGCCAATTTAAAATCGTTAGTTTCGTATTGATTGTTGGTACAATCCAGTAGTAGCATAGAGGTAACTCTAAGATTAGTAGGTCCCGAAGAAAATCATTATTATTTTTGGCTCACTCAGTACCAGAACAACGGTCCCAAGCAGTCCCAAGCTATTTCACTCACCCCTGCATGTTCTGCATGAATCCACACACCCCTGATGTTATCTGTCAAACTTTCATAGCGAATCAAAACAAACATAGTGTAGTAATAGAATTTCAACTAGAATAGGGTAAGTTAATCGTTTTCTAGGGACCAATAGGCTACTAAAGTGGTGAGCCAATTTAAAATCGTTAGTTTCGTATTGATTGTTGGTAGTAGTGTTGTTGCCATGTGGTACACTGAAAAATTGCAATAGCAGGTTACCCGAAAAAAAATAACAACAAAAATACATTAAAAAACAATGTAACAATAAGACGAAAATTATTGTCTGAACAATGATTTATATTGTTACGTCTACAATAAATTTACCTTGATTTATGTTGTACAAAACAATAAATTTCATGGTAAATGGAAAATTTACAATAAAAAAGGGGGGTTGTTAAGTATCTTAACAATGAAATTTTCGTGATTTTCCCATATAATTTTTTTTCAATAACATTATATATTATTGTTATTTTACTGTTGGTTGGCGAATTTATTGATTAAAAAAAATAACAGTGTACTTTAGAGTGTATGTGTTGGCTTGACAGATCTACTTTATCGACTTTAAAAATAAATAGAAAAAATAAAACATTGCCCCGGGAAGGGAAGGGGGTGGTATGTCTGTTACGGGTGGTCCTTTTTTTACTGGTTATGGATCGAGATTCGATCCGGAACTTGTGAGAAATGCAGGCCAACTACCCTGCGCTCGATATCCCTAGGTCACGTCTCCTTGGTGGTTGAGCGTCGTTGATAAGTTAATGCATTCGACTGGAGAGAATCGCCCATGAAATATGCTTCCACCTGAGAGTTCCTTCCTGACATCTTCAAGTGGTGGAATTTTTTATTATTATTGTATGATTATTGACTGCACGGAAAAGGTCTCCATTAAGCTTTAGAGAGGGTCTAGGATAAGATATGAGCGGAGGCGGACTGCCTGGTTTTGCGCCAAACGAACTGTCAAAGCCAGAGCCATACGAGCAGCGCCTATCTTAATTACATTGGCAGTGTTGCTGACCCTCTCATAGTCTGCATGCTTCAATCAGATTTATTTTTATTGTTCGTGAAGTAACCCACAATGAAAATACACCAATATTTAATGTAACAACAATTTTTATTGTAATAGAGTTGTTCATTATTGTTCATGATCGAATCATGTTAACAATATAATAAATGAAAAATACGATAAAAATCATTGTAACAACATTTTATTATGTACATTCATTGTACATCTAGGTAGCAGTTTTGCCGTTTTCGGAAGAGTACAACATTATAACAATCATTTTTACTGTCGACAATAAATATTAATGTTAGAGCATTGTTTCCACTGAAAATTTCACTGTAATTTTTTTTTCGGGTAGTCACCAAAGTTTTCGAGCCGCTCCGTCTGTCACTTCGTTTGTGGTATTATCAACAATCAATACGAAACTAACGATTTTAAATTGGCTCACTACTTGACTAGCCTATTGGTCCCAAGCAAACGATTAACGTATCCCATTCTAGTCGAAATTCTAGTACTACGCAATGTTTGTTTTGATTCGCTATGAAAGTTTGACAGATAAAATGAGGGTTTATTGGTTTTTCCTATGTTTCGAGGGGTGAATCGATTAGCTTGGGACCGAAGAGAGTACCAGAGCTGAGCCAAAAAGTTGAGCACGTTATTTCGGGACCTTCTAGTCTTAGAGTTACCTCTGTGGTATTATCATAGAGGTAACTCTAAGACTAGTAGGTCCCGAAGAAACGAGCTCTACTTTTTGGCTCAGCTCTGGTGCTATCTTTGGTCCCAAGCTAATCGATTCACGCCTCGAAACATAGGAAATTCCACTAAGCCCTCATTTTATCTGTCAAACTTTCATAGCGAATCAAAACAAACATTGTGTAGTACTAGAATTTTGACTAGAATGGGGTACGGTTAATCGATTTGCTTGGGACCAATAGCACAAACGAAGTGACAGACGGAGCGGCTCGAAAACTTTGGTGACTAACCTGCTATTTCAATTTTTCAGTGTACCACATGGCAACACCACTACTACTGGATTGTACCACATGGCAACACTACTACTGGATTGTACTATCATTTTCACCAAATGTATTAGAATGTTTTGGTTCTATCTCTTTCACTCTATTCAAAACTGAAATGCATAAAAAAATGACAAAATGATACGCACTCTTTGCACACTGTCAAAGAATCATTGTACACAAAATCAACTTTGTTCAAATCAAAACAAAAAAACTAACCCATCTGGTGGATGATGGCACAAGCTTCCAAGAAAATTTTATTACAGTGAACCACATTATTTAAATGGATTTCTTCGCCAGTTAGTCGTCTGTCACTTCGTTTGTGCCAATAGGCTAGTCAAGTAGTGAGTCAATTTAAAATCGATAGTTTCATATTGATTGTTGGTATTATCATAGAGGTAACTCTAAGACTAGAAGGTCCCGAAATAACGTGCTCAACTTTTTGGCTCAGCTCTGGTACCATAGAGGTAGCTCTAAGACCAGAAAGTCCCGAATAAATATGCTCACCTTTTTGGCTCAGCTCTGGTACTATCTTCGGTCCCAAGCTAATCGATGCACCCCTCGAAACATAGGAAAATCCACGAACCCCTCTTTTTATCTGTCAAACTTTCATAGCGAATCAAAGCA